AAAAAAAAAAAAAAAAAAGCCATTCCATTCTCCTTTGACTTGCATTGCTTCTAACTAAAAGTCTGGTCATTCTTACCCAGCCGTCCTTAAGAGGTTTTTAAATCATCAATGGTTTTTCTGCAGTGCCCTGCAATAGAGATTTGTAGGGAGTGTCTGTTTATGCTTATCTTGCTTTAGATTACTTTCTCGAATCTGTGAATATGTAATTTCTATCAGATCTGGATAAATTTCAGCTATTATTTCTTCAAACACAATCTCCTTCACCTGCTGTGACCCTTTTTACTTGGAGTCAAATTTTGGGCATGGAAGACCACTTGATTTTCTCTCACGAGTTCATTTTCTTCCCATTCTTTTCTTGTCTCTGGATGCACTGATCTTCCCTCTGTTGTTTTCCTCATCTCCCGCTTCTCGCTTCATCTGTGCATGTTTCCCTTTACATACTTAAGCACAGACAGCACGTCAACATCCTGTGTGCTAATCCCACCATTTCTATCCTTTGCACATCTCTGTCTATTGATAGACTTTTCTCACGATTACCGGTCACATTGTCCTGCTTCTTTATTGCCCAGCAATTTTATTTTTTGGAGAGAAAGAGTTTCACTTTATCGTCCTTGGTAGAGTGCCATGGCATCACACTGCTCACTGCAATCTCCAACTCCTGGACTTAGACGATTCTCTTTCAGTCTCTGAGTAGCTGGGACCACAGGCGCCCGCCACAATGCCCGGCTGTTTTTTTGTTGCAGTTCAGCTGGGGCTGGGTTTGAACTGGCCACCCTTGGTATATGGGGCCAGCGCCCTGCCTACTGAGCCACAGGCGCTGCAATGCCCAGCAATTTTTTAATGTGTCCTAGATTCTGTACTTTTCATTATTGAGTCTTATATTTTGTTTATATTTTCCTTTAAAAATTATTACATTATAGGGCAGCACCTGTGGCTCAGTGAGTAGGGCTCCGACCCCATATACTGAGGGTGGCGGGTTCAAACCCGGCTCCGGCCAAACCACAACAAAAAAATAGCCAGGCATTATGGTGGGCGCCTGTAGTCCCAGCTACTCGGGAGGCTGAGGCAAGGGAATCGCCTAAGTCCAGGAGTTGGAGATTGCTGTGAGCTGTGTGATGCTGCTATGGCACTCTACCGAGGGCGATAAAGTGAGACTCTGTCATTATTCTGGGGTAAGTAAGCTACTGTATTATTATCTATGTTACATGACAAATTTCCTCAAAACTTTAGTGGCATAAGATAATAAACATTCCTGATTTCATAGTTTCTATGGGTCAGAAAGCTCAGCTGGGTGCCTCTGGCTCAAGGTCTCACAGGGAGGCAATCAAGCTGCCAGCAGGCCCGTGTGTGGGTATCTGGAGGAAAACTGGGGGCAGATCTGCTTCCAAGCTCATCTATGTGCTGCCTCCAAGCCTCAGGAGCTCTGCCTCCGAGCTTATTTATGTGGGCCTCCCCATAGGGTTGGCTCATACACAGCAACTGGGCTCCCCCAGAGGGATCTCAGAGACAGCAACAGGATTACTCCAGATAGAAGCAAATCTTTTCATAACCTCACTTTGGAAGTGACAGCCTTATTCCATCACTTCTGCCATATTCTATTCACTCCAAGCAAATCATGAAGGCAGCCACACCACGAACAGACTATAATCCTGAGAGTTGAGGCCCAGGGGGAAGCACTTCACAAGCTGCTGGCCATGACTCATGGGTCTCCTTGGTCCTTTTAAACCTCATTTTTAAGGTGTTTTAGGGCATATCTAGAGTAGCATTTACGGGTAAGCCCAGGCAAAGCCAATAAAGACCATTTAGCCAAAAATGTAAACAATAATAAAACTACCCCTGTAAACCACTGTTTTGAGGTGATCAGCAATGCAGCAGAGTGAGACGTGCAAACTCCACATGCTGCTCAGAGGCGTGCAGTGGGGCATCTTCTCTCAAGCCAGACTGCCTGGGTTTGAATCCCACTGTGTGAGCCTCGGCAAGTCACTGGCCTTTCTGGGCCAGTTTCCACATGTGAGAAGCAGGCACAGGAATAGTACGGGAGGAATAGGTACGGGAATAGTAAGGGAGATGGGCATGCTCCTACTTAATGGCCACAATGTTTGGGCACACAACACACCTCTTGAGGGTAGGACACAAATATAAGAGGCACTCTACCTACAAATGCAAACATTTGTTCTTTGTATCCTCAAATTAACCTGAAGTAACAATAAAAAATTTTTTAAATTAAATATTTAATTTTAATACAACTCTAACACCCAACAGAGTTGTATTAAAGGAGTTAATACTGTAAGCATTTGGAACAGTTTAAAGCACACATTTGTTATTATCTATTACTAGCATTAGAGTTTTTTCAGAAGAATAACACAATTTATATTTATATAATTTATCTCAATTAAGGATATTTGCAGTATTTTAAGAAACAAATCCCAAATATAACCCTCATGCAGTAGTCATTTGCCTGGTAAACACGTAAATGTAGAAGAAATCTACTCAGCTTTCAGATTCTTAGGCCTGAAGAACCTTCCATGGTCCCAAGCACACGCTTACCTGCATAGGAGATACAGCTGCTGCAGGAGGAGTTTTCATAGGACTTGGACTCAGAGGTGTTCGAGGAATTGCAGTTGCAGCAGGATTTGGTACTACAGAAACAACAAACAAGTAAGCAAATAAAGAATGCATCATTACAGTGGAAGCTTTCTGAACTGGAATCTCACTCTGTCACCCTGCATAGAATGCCATGACATCATAGCTGACAGCAACCTCAACTCTTAAGCTCAAGAGATCCTCTTGCCTCAGCCTCCCAAGTAGCTGAAACTACAGGCAACCCTTCTACCACCAGGTGAAATGTTTGCTTCCTAGAGTAGTCATGTTTATTTCCAACCCCGGTTATGTTAGTTATTTCATTTTTGTTGTTTAATTATATCATGTGGTTAAAGTGCTCCACGAACCAGTGAAATCTAGGTATGAAACTCCCAAGAGGAATATTTCTATAACTGCATCATGTAAGAAGCTGGGCCTGCGGTAAATGCTCTGACACCTGCGTATTAAGGTGAGTCCCAGCTACTCAGGAGGCTGAAGTAAGATGGCTGCATAAGCCTTGAATGTTCAACAACAGTCT